GTGTGTGTGTGTGTGTGTGTGTGTGTGTGTGTGTGTGTGTGTGTGTGACTCTTCTCAGAACCTTTGTGGTTTTTTCACCAAAGCTTCTGTAACGACTCAGGCTGTTCTCCTGGACTTTCCTCTTCAGGGAGGTCCCAGCCGTCTCCCTCAGAGTTACTGGACCAAGGCGGTCCACCAGCAGGTCTGGACTCGTACCTCACCAAGGCCAACTCATGGCTGTCGGGGAAGAAAGACGCCGCCGAGCGTCTCCTTAAAACCACTTCAAAAAGTGACGTGAAAGGCTTCTTTGGAGGCCTGGAGAGCAAGCTGAGGAGCTCCATGTCTGCCAGGTCTGAGTGAGAACGACTTCTTTACATGTCTGTTTGAAGATCTGCTGCTGAGGCTTCAGTCCTCACTCTGCTTTGTCACGACAGAGACGGCTCAGCTGAGACCAGGCCCAGATCTCCAGGTTCAGATCATCACTCTTCCATGGCCTCCAGTTTGATCATTGATTACTGGTTTTATTATTAGATTCAGTTCATGTATCATGTTTCCTCCTCTGCACAGTGTCAGAGGCTCCACAGGAGAAGAAAGGAGACAAGGTGTACCTGTACACTCACCTGAAGCAGCAGCCCATCTGGTAAAATGATTCTTTCAAATAATAATCATGGTGTTCATCAGACAGAAAAGATTTTACTGTTAAAATGTTTCAGAAGTCAGGTTTAAAACTAATATCAGCAGTTGTGACGTTAGCAGCAGCATTAACAGTAGCAGTACTAGCATTAGCAGTACTAGCGTTAGCAGTACTAGCGTTAGCAGTACTAGTGTTAGCAGTACTAGCGTTAGCAGTACTAGCGTTAGCAGTACNGTTAGCAGTACTAGCGTTAGCAGTACTAGCGTTAGCAGTACCATTGTTCCTTCATGTCTGATGTGGTCTTAGTAATCCGATCAGACAGGAAGTGGATAATGTGGTGTTTCCTGTTGACAGGCACACCTTACGGTTCTGGAACGCAGCGTTTTTCGATGCAGTTCACTGTGAGAGGACGAAGCGGTCTCCCACCACCAGGTGAGTGTGGACGGAGGGCCCTGCAGAGGTTCTGCTGTGAAGCTGCTCTTCCTGTCTGGTTGCTGACTTTAATCCTCTGTTTCCTTGTGCCTTGCTGCCGGGCAGAGGAGCGCAGGATGAAGAGAAAGACCAGAGGTCTGTCCTTCCTTCAGTTCCTCGCTGAAACCAAAGGAACACATTAAAAAAAAACATGTTAGAGAAGAACAGCAGGAGTTTTTCAGCCGCATTAAGCTAAATGTGTCGAAGCAGCTTTTGTTTTTTTATTTCAATTTTCTAATTAGAATAATTTTTCTGTGGTTTTGACTCTTTTAACCTTCAGAATCAGGATGAAGGTCCAACAGTTTCTATTTTGCTGTGGAGCTGAAAAATAAACCTGCTTCTTCTTCTGCTCAAGACTTAGTTTGTGTTTAGCTGGTTTTATTGTTCTGCTTTCCCATGATGTCAGTGAACCATCCCACACCATGCTGCTGCCTCCACCGTGCCTCACTGTAGACCTGCTGTCCTTCAGTGCTTCAGCTGCAGCTCTCTGCAGAACAGCAACCTGAAACACGCTTCTGTTCATGAGACCCTCAGAGGTCTACGTGAGACCCTCACAAGTCTACATGAGACCCTCAGAGGTCTACGTGAGACCCTCACGGGTCTGTGTGAGACCTTCAGAGGTCTATGTGAGACCTTCGTAGGTCTACGTGAGACCCTCACGGGTCTATGTGAGACCCTCAGAGGTCTACGTGAGACCCTCACGGGTCTGTGTGAGACCCTCACAGGTCTATGTGAGACCTTCGTAGGTCTACGTGAGACCCTCACGGGTCTATGTGAGACCCTCAGAGGTCTATGTGAGACCCTCAGAGGTCTATGTGAGACCCTCAGAGGTCTACGTGAGACCTTCGTAGGTCTACGTGAGACCCTCACGGGTCTATGTGAGACCCTCAGAGGTCTATGTGAGACCCTCACAGGTCTACATGAGACCCTCAGAGGTCTATTTGAGATCCTCAGAGGTCTATGTGAGACCCTCAGAGGTCTACATGAGACCTTCAGAGGTCTATGTGAGACCCTCAGAGGTCTATGTGAGACCTTCAGAGGTCTATGTGAGACCCTCAGAGGTCTATGTGAGACCCTCAGAGGTCTATGTGAGACCCTCTGAAGTCTACATCAAACTTCTGACTCATCAGAAACAGGTCTTCTGAACTCCAGGTTTCTTGTGGATGTATGGGTTTGGTCCTGAGTGAAGTCCTGGTCTGGTTCAGATCCAGAGCTGAAGGTCTGGTCTGCATGTTGACTCCATGTGCATGCTCTCATTGTGTCTCACTGCTGCTCCACATGAACTCAGACCAGAAGAAGGAAGGTTTTTCTAATAAATGATGAGGATCTTGAAGAAGCTCAGCTTCATCAGGTTCCTCATCAGATGGAGGATCATCTCAGACCTGTCAGAACCATGTCCCACAAGCTCCACAGGCTCCACATGAACGAACCAGACCTCTGGGGACAGGGTCCTGGTCTCCATGGAGACGCTGCAGCTCTGTGGACCAGTTTTATCTTTATTGTGTCCAACGGTCCAGACTCTTGTTGTTCTCTGACTCCTGGTCCAAACCTGAAGGTCCAGCTGAATCTGACTGTGGTCTGGTTCTGCTGCAGGGAGAAGTGGTGTCACATGACCCAGGAGGAGCGGGACGACAGCTCCAAGATGGACGAGAACATCGCCTTCGGTCAGCTGGGGTGAGAGAGAAGAACCTCGCCCCTGAGCTGCCGTACTCCTCCAGATGTTCATTAGATTTATATGTGTGTGTGTGTGTGTGTGTGTGTGTGTGTGTGTGTGTGTGTGTGTGTGTGTGTGTGTGTGTGTGTGT